CTTCTCCAAACTCACACTTTCTATTCTGAAACTTAAATCAACTGCACTAAAAAGACAGTTTCAAGTCTCCAGATTTATGCATTTTGTGTTTGATCATTTAACATGAGAAATTTGTATATGTATCTTTATCTTTTGATGATTCTAATCTTGGGGGTGTCAAGTGGCTCATAACTTATTTTCAATATCATTATGTATTTTGGTCTGTATCTCTCCTTGTACTGTGTTCATGTGAATATGAAAATTTGCATTACAGTCCTAAATAACCACAGATAATACACCTGAAATTACATTGGCAAATTCTTATAAAAATTAATCAAATTGATTTTTACCTTGGTGTCTCATTTCTTTTGCCTGCCAATGTATTTTATTCTATATTTTGATTATTTGTTTTCTTATCATGTCTTTCAAATAGGAAAAACTGTAAATGTTTGGAAAACAAAAATTATTAAACATGGGTTTAAGCAGTACAAATAGAATTGTGATTATAAATAAAGCATGACAGATAAAACAATCAGAAAGTTTTGAAAATAATTAAAAGCAATAGAAAGATAAAACAGTAAAATATGCAAGATAATGAAAAATCTATTAACAAGCTTGTTCACTCCATTTTAAAGACTAATTTGTGATAAAGTAAGAAAAATCCTTTACCTGAAAGCATTGTTCTCGATCTTTATTTAATTAAAATCACTTCAAACTTCATATTAAAGTTTCCCCTTTTTATCTCTTTGTATGTTCAAGTACATTAATGTTGAGTAAATTTCATCTTTGATTAGAAATAACTCCATCTGAATTTGATTTAATTACAATGTTCAGTTTCTTTGAAGAAAATTCTGAAAATCTTTCTGATTTTCTACAGTTAATTGAAACTGTTACATTTGTTAATATATTTGTCCTTTTTGCCCATGCATTACACATCATAAGATAGTTTAGATTTATCACTTCTTGTCATTGTGAAGCAGTTCTAAATAATGCAGTTAGATATGAGGCTATATTGATATTTTCTTACTGTCAATGAACTGTATTTTATTATTATTAAACAACACTTCTCTTTTCTCTGTTCATAGTCAATATATGGATATAGATATATATAACACTAAAACATTATTTAATCTCTTGTAATTTTTGTGTACTGTGGATAAAATTTATAATCATTTTCTTATTATTTTCTCTTAGTAACAGAACTTCTCATTATTTTATGCTCAAGTATCAAATACAATGTCTTATTAATCCCTTTATGTTATTTCTTCATCGACACAAGTCTGCAATCTAACCCAAACTCTAGAGATTATTTTATATTTGAAAATTATATGATGACTATATAATTGAAATTGTATTTGTATAGGAACATTAGCATTAAAGATGTGTCCAAAGATTTTATTTGCTTTATTAATATTACAATTCTTGATAATTTGAATTGAAGAAATGAACTTTCTAGTACATTTTGTGAAAATAAAGAAATTTCATTGAAAGTGTCTATTGAACACATTCCTTTTTGTTTTGTTTTATTGTATTATTTGCCTACATTTCTTTTCTGTTTTCTTCTATGTTTTTATCTGTCATACATCTGAAGGTGGTAGAACGAATCTGCTAACATATTGTTATCACATCAAAGCAATAAATTAATGAGTTCAATAATTAAAACAACTTCTCAGAATTATAAATAATAAAGATGATTTCAAACTTTGAATCAAAATTACTTTTTAGATATTGGCTACTTTATTTCAAGTTATTCTTATGAATTCACAACTAGAAAACTCTTCAAAAAATATAACTACACAATTTTCTCATTACTGTTCATAATTAATTAAAACCAAATTCATTGCCCCCCCCCAAAAAAAAATCCGAGAAAAATAACAGAAAATAATTTTTTGCTAATTACAATAAATCCATGATGTTTGATTATTTATTAACTTTAAAATTTTCAAAATTATATTTACTTAATTTCATAAACTGAATATTAAAGTATTTCTATATTATTAATTAAATCAAGTTGTTTATTGCCAGATTCTTTGCTGATCATTTTCACCTAAAGTTTGGTATTTTAAGCAAATTTTACCAAGTTGCTTACTCAGTTCTTGATATTAAAACAAATCTGGTACAATCTGAAATTCTCAAACAGCTGCTATAAAGAAATAAGTTTTAATAATTTGAGTAATGAAATAAGAGCAGGTACTTAAACCAATGAAAAACTTACTGCCTACATTTCCACATTTTGTCACATTATAACCACAAATTTAAATTTTATTGGGATTTTATGTAGTGGACCAACCCAAAATAGGGTATCATTTTGAAGTGGGGGAAATATTACATGTTTTCAAAATTATTTACAATTAAAAATCTAAAATGTGTTGAGCACATACGTATTCAGCATGCAGCTTTACTGTGAACCCCCTAAGTAAAATCCAGTGCAAGCAATTGCCTCCAGAAGTCACATAATTAGTAAATAGAGTCCACCTAATTATGATGATTTCTTTTGAGTAGCGGAAAGAATGAGTTATGATCCTTTATTCTGCACTCTCCATTTAAATACACCTGTTCTGTGAAGGTCTCAAGAGATTTGTTAAAGAAGATTACAAAACAAACAGTATCATAAATAACAAGGAGCTTCTCTAATAAGGAATATAGTTATGAAGAAGTATAAAGAAGGGTTAGACCATTAAAAGAAATATCCCATGTCTCACAAATCCTTTATCCAAAAATGGAAATAGTATGACATAACTGCAAATATACCAAGACAAGACCATGCAAAGAGAGTATTAATCAACCAAGAGACTCTGGAGGACCTGAGAGAATCTGTTCACAGGACAACTCCTAGTCATGCACTCCACAAACCTGACCCTTATGGAAATTTGACAAGAAGAAAGCCATTGTTGAAGGAAAATCATAAGAAGTCCCATTTGTAGTTTGCCACAAGCCATGCATAAAACACAGCAGTCTGTTGCTTATCAGACATCAAGAAAAATTGGTTTTACTTTTACAGATAATGAGATGATGCTCTGCTTGAAAATAAAGATTTTAAATGTAGATTCATTTGACACTAAACAAAAAATTGCATATTAATCTCGGTTGAATGCAAGCTAAAGAAATGAAATGATTGGAATGAAAGTGAAAAAGGGAAATGATCTTAACTCATTCATTATTTCAGTAAAAGTTGTATTCATTTTGAGTGTGCAAGTGAAGGTCAGTAAATATCAACAAAATCTTAATAAATAGAACTTATATATTTGTATAATGTGTTAATGCCATGACATTAACATAAGGATCGCAAATCTATAAGGAAATCTATTTATAGCAAACAAAACCTAAATGTTTTGAACAGATGCTATTAAGAGCAACCAACCTAAAAGCTAAACAGAAATTCAGATTGTGTGAAAATGACTTGATCCATTTTAATTTATCAAATTAATTCCAGTATTTCTGTAATAAAAGATAGTGATAGTGATAATGAGAAAAAGTTGATACCCAAAAGGCAAGGATGAAAAAGATGATGGTGATATTAGGTAAACAAGAGAGATATTAATAGATGAAAAACATGAAGTTACAAAAAAGGAATACAAATATAGCAAAGATATACTCACAAACTGAAAGTACATTTCTAGATACTTCAGAATTTCTACCAGATTTTTCACTGTAAATGTATTTCAAACAATAGAATATTAACTGCTGTTCTAGAAATACAATATTCAGTAAAGGTGAAAGCCTGCTAACATAATTACATATGAGCTGAAAATTGGCATGATTCTAGCTATGTTATAATATATAATTAGTGTTCACAGTGACTGTGTACAAAGCAAACTTCTGTGGGAAAGCTGAGATTTATTGACAGCTTTTCACAAATGAAAATGAAAACCAAAATGTTTAGGAGTTAGAAAAGAATAAGATGTAAAATTTCTCTCTTTAATTTAAAATTTATGAACAGTTTCTTCTTTTGGCCATTAAAAATGTCAATTAGCTTGATTGATAGTAGATCAATAAGCTCATAGCCTGACATAGTTATTAGCTAAATTTTGATCTGAAATTTTCACTGCATAATGTTTTATCTGTAATTAATGGAGAAGCATTGACATGGAAGAAGACTATGTTGAAAAATATTTGCTAGATGAAAATAATTGCTTTTTTCATTGAAGATCTATTAATATAAAAAAGAAAGAAAGTGGTGTTCTTTATTATTTTGCTTTTATAACACTACTGAATAACTGGTGAATTATGCCTTATAATGAGAATCAGCTTCTTCTTACTATGTGTCATGGCCCTCTACATCTTCCTGTCCCTTGTAGCTCTTAATAAGTTTTATCCTTTTTTTTCTCCTAAACCTTGCTCTACCATCCATTTGCTCAAGCTCATCAAGTATGCTGCTTTCCCCTGTCCTTATTTCTCTCAATCCTGTGAGTATCAGATTTTCCAAGCCCTCCTTCCTCATTATGTGCCCCAGAAATTTCAACTGCCTCTTCCTGATGTTAAGCATAAGTTTCCTTTTTATTTCCATTTTCTCAAAAACCTTGTCATTGCTCACTTGTTCGGTCCATGTTATCCTCAGCATCCTTCTGTCGAACCACATTGCAGTTACTTTGTCTCTTCTTTGTCTGTGAGGAGATATGGTCTAAAAGAAGAAAAGTATATCATTTAATAATAGCAGAGAAGTTTAACACATCATAGCATGAATGAAAACAATATGCATGTGGGAAGAAGTCAAATTTTCTTGGCATAAATCCTATTAAAGAAACAAAAAAAATTGGAATAAAAAAGCCTAAAATCAAAATACTTGATATATTAAGAAAAGTTTACATCCAGATATACCCAGAAATTGTTTTATACCAAAAATTGTTAACTCCTTGTTAAAAGAAGTAAAAATTAATAAAACTCAGTAAGAATTATGATACTGATATCTCACAAGTCCAGAAACTGAAAATTAAATTATTTTAGTTATCCATAATGTTAATGTTATTCAATTTCACTTTTATCCTCTATTTTTGTATTTCAATGGATTTTGTATATTTCAGCTTGCTATTAGGCAGATACCAAAACAATACAAGCAGGAAATTCAAGATAATGATTGGCTTAAACAAGAGGTATGCAAAATTATATGAAACATTTCATGCATAAAGATGGGAATCAAACTGATAAATAACAAATTTATAAAAGAAAGACAACTCAGAATTAAAGAGTATCAGTAAGGTGTCATATAAAACTGTCTATTTTGAAAAAATGATGACTTACAAAATGATTATAATTACAAGTGGTTGTTGAGAACCATAATCATATTAATTGTGTCCTTAGAACTTACTTAACTGCTAATGATTTGGTCAAAAAGATTGTTTTGTGTGTATTTAACTAAGATCATTACCAAAGTCTCTTGACAGCTGTTATATATCAATTTGCATCTTCTAAAAAAAGTAAAATATTACACAGATGCAAAAATAAATTATACAGTTTACAGAGAAAATATCAGAAATTATCAAATGTCTCAAAAATGATTTACAAAGTTTTGTACTGAAGATTTCTCATTGAACAATATTTTTTAATATTACTTAAGAATTTTATTCGAAATATCAAAATCAAATGTCAAAATCATTTTCTACAGTTTTGATAAGTGGCTTCTACATCAGTGAAAAAATCTACTGAATTGTATATGTGTATCATTTTTTAAATAATGTAGAATGCTAAATATTGTAGAATGAGTAAAATGAATGTTTTGTGATGAAGACCAGAGGCTAGTCTTTATCCAAAGAAGGTGGTACTATTGTTATGTATGATGCTAATGTTGTGCCCTGCAAGTCAATGGAGGGTAAAATTGAATGACAACACAAAACCTATTGTGTGCTTATCTGTAACAATCCATGGCAAAACTACCTCTGACTGCTCATAGCTACAGACAATATGCTTTATAACTATAAATAGTTACCAGAGAATTAACTTTGTATTTATTAATAAATCACAACTATGTTTATATGATTGAATATAAAGTGTGACTTATTCCTTCCAGAGAACCAAATGATTTATTCAAATAATTCCTGCTTCCAATTAAACAAACTGAAGACAGCAATGAATGAAAATCATCCAGAATTAGCCATTCCATCAAAAGATAATGCAAAACAAAAAAAAAATTCATCCACTGTATTTGTCATTTAACATTTATGTGTCTTTAGAAAATTTAGTTAATTAAAAATTTAAATTTACTGAAAGACTATGAAAAGCACTTACAGCTTTGTTTTTTTAATCATTTCACTCCAAGCAAAGTGATAATGCCACTAGGATACATGAGGTGACAGGGAGTGAACAAGAATAAAAAGACTTTAGTGACAAGTAATGAAAAGGACAATAAAGGAACAGAATTCAGGAAGACAGAAGATGGTGATTGATGTTGTATTTAAATTTTTGAAGATTGTAGGTGGCTTGAAAGGAAGAAATGAGAAGTGGATTCCATCAGTGAGAAGTGTGAGAAAAGAAACTATTAGAATAGAACAGTTGCATCTTAGATCATTCAACAGTAACAACAATGAGATCTAGTTGCCAATTTAGTAGTGCACTTAAATTCATGCAGTTGAGGTATTAAGGAGAAAAGTTCACCAGAGAAGTTGTCATACTGTGTTTTTTGCTGAGAAAGAAAAAAATGTTTTGAGAGGATGGAATTATGAAGTGTCTTGAAAGATAGCAGTAGAGAGGGGAGCAAACCAAAAATATGATTTTTTTATTACAACCTTAAACAAACTATTTTATTTTTTCTTACATAACCCAGTAAATTTTTCCATTACCCAAAAGATTCTTAGTAAATAGAAAAGTACATGTGACCTTTTCTTTTGTGTGGGCTGTGTCCAATAGCACACAGATGTAACTTGTTTACTAGTGATTGAACTGCTGCTCAGAGATTGTGCATATGTAAAAATTATATGTTTTGTTTTAACACTCCATTATCAGTACCTTGGCTATCACAGAAAATATCTGCTTTTCCATGTCATATTCTGATTTTTATGTTTTCTCTTGTATATGCTAAACAGCTGTTACTCATTAGTTCTATATAATTCCATCAGATAATGACAATTTTCCTTCATATTCAGACACCAAATATGTGTTTGTCTTATATTTTATGGTAAATACAAGCAGGTAAGAGGTCCCTCTTTCGTTCACTTTCAACACACTGTCAATTCTAGCCTTTCTTGCATATGTTATTCTTTTGACCAATTTACTCATTGGTAAGTATTGACTTTATAGATGCAGCTAACCTCTTTACCACATCTGTATTTGGTAAATAGTGTGTACTTATTTTGTGAGCATGCTTATGCATGTAAAGTATGTTGCTTGTTAATCAAGGTGTCATTGAAAAATGCCACAGCTGTATTTCACTTGGAAGTGAATAGATTCATATCAATATTTTTTGTCTGACTTTCTGAAATGAGAAGTTATCATTATTTACATTATTTGCATTCAGACTAATGTCCTCATCTTTGTTATTATCACAACCTTTTGGCTGTTGTAGCCTCTAAGCTTCTTCAGATATCTGTCAATCCTGATAACCTTTAAAGATTTTTTAACTGAACCATTTATTTGGTCTGTGTGGGTAGATTGATCTTGTTCCACTGTTTATATGTATGAAAATCTTATCTTGTTCTTATTTAGTACTGCTCAGTACTAAATAAGAAGAACTTGCCCAGTTTCTACTGAGTGTAAGTTTATACTACCCAGCCCAGGGATTGGACTCATAATTACTATGAATCAATGCTTTAATTCACTTAGCTATTGGTCTCATTCTGAATCTAGAACTTGGAGCCTTAAAACTAATGTTATTCATTCATGCTGTCATACTTGAATGCATTCACCACTCCTCTTTTACTGTTGCAGCCTTGGTGTCATTTCCCTTTAATTACTAATGACTTCCATTTGGCATTGGTTTTTATGCTAGGCCTACTGAAGAGGGCCTCATAGCCTAATATATATATATATATATATATATATATATATATATATATTGATTCCTCCAGACATCTGATTCTCCAATGTTCTCTGTCTAGTATTTTCACTTCATTCCATAGATGATTTCATTGTCTCACTCCTGATATTTCTTCTATTTCTTCAACCTTACTTTTAGTGGGAATCCTGTTAGTATGTGTCTGAGTCACCAATTATGATTTTTGCATGGTTTTGTAGGCATTGAATGATCCCTTTCATTAAATTGTATGGATGGTGGGAATTGATACAAAAGTATTATCTAGTGAAAAGTTGTCTTCTAACCTTGAACCAATTCTCTGTGCAAGTTATTATTATATCCTGACTGATTCTTTTCTTATGTTGTGAACTGGATCAAAGGTCACACTGAGGTCACATTGTCCAGCATTATTTGTACAGCTTCCTAGTGAGGCCAGATTATGAAGGTATCATATGCATTTTTCAGCTATTGTTAGTGGTACCATTCCTAAATCTGTTTCTTCAAAGTATTCCATGTATATGCTTGCCCTCACTGATGTAGCCAAGCTTTTTTGTGTTGGTATATATCAGATGCTAGTTAAAAGACTGCTGTCTGTATACAGAATATCAACATTTCCTTCAGATTAACTATTTGGATTTTAGTACATTCCTCAAGAAAGGGATCCAATTCACCAATAGAGCCTCATCTATAAGTGAACAAGCTTACCACCCAATTGTTATAAATGAGTGCACCTTGAGTTGTTTCCCCAAAGTGTTCTGAGTCCTTAACATATGACAAGGACTTAGCTGACTATATATGCTCAATGATGGCATGACAAATCCTTGCAGTTCAATAATAACTTTCAGTAGAATACCAATTTTGTGAATATACTAAAAGTTCTTTATTTCTTTTCTTTGTTCCTAGTTATCCTTTTCACTCTGTAAAATTAGTTGAATGGTGGATACAAAAAAAGACAAATGGAAAATACTCTTGTCTTTTTGTACTAAAACTGTTATTGGTGAACCTTGCATATTTAATCAAGTTTATTGGTAATACATTTGTGTCAGAGAATAAAACAATATAATTAAGATAAAATAACAATGTATAAATATGTATTGTAAATTATTTTATGGCTAAATACAATCACTTATCTGACTTGCATGCAAAACCACATATTGCACTTTAATTCACATAACCAGAGGCACATGCACAACATAACATTTTTGTATATTTATATGTAAAGGTAAATTTCATTTGTAAAGTCTGGCATTAGAAAGCTGGTTAGATTATCTTTCTTTACCAAAGTAATTTTCATGTCCGTTATTTTTATTCCATTTTCAATAGATCAGTATTTTTTACACACTGTCTTGCTATCTTTTTCAACTTAAGCAGTAAATTGGTGGAAATATTAGTTAATATGAAAAGAAATAGTGAAGATAATATGAAGATTTAGCTTGCATTGGAGAACAATAAGATGCCCCACTTTGCTCAGATTGATAACAATAAGATGCCCCACTTTGCTCTATATTGTTTAGTGCAATTGAATTTATGAAGATCTTGACGATCTTCATAAATTCAATTGCACTAAACAATATAACAAGGATTAAGTAGTAAAACATGCTGCTCTTTAATTCTTGTGAGGAGAATTAAGAAAATCAATTTCCTGAAAATATTATTTTAAAATTACACAAAAATTTTTCATTTCTTTAAAAGTATTCAATAATAGATGTTGAAAATGTTTTACAGTGCCATAATCCACATTTATTTATCTGCTATTGTGTTAATATCTTACTAGGAAAGAGAGAAAATATATTTAAAGCATTCACAACAAAACTACTATCTATAGACAGTGATGCAGTAATAAAAGCTACCATATACCAGTAACTACAACATGACCTAAGTGCTGCAATGCAACAGGTATATCTTGCTTGTATATTTGCATGTGCTTCATTTAGTAATTGGTATGATACTGGTGTCTTGTAGTTAGCCTTTACAAATTTCAGTTGATACTTTTTACATTGGGTAAAACATTCATTTCATTTTGAAGCTTAAACCAGCCCAAAAGTGTAACAGTAAAAGATTCAGCCAAGCAATTATGAAGTAAATATGATGGAATTGATTATGTAGTCTCTCTCTTTCTCTCTCTCTCTCTCTCTCTCTCTATATATA